GCGCGAAACAGAAAAGGAGAGAGCGGAGAGTTTGCCAGAGGAAAAAGAGGAAGAAGAAGGCCAGAGCGGCAGCGGTAATGACAGGCCGTCCGCTCTCGAAGCTAATATAGATGAATGCCCTGCCCTCCTTGCCCTGCGGAACCAGCGGAGTGAAGAACGTGGAATCGCTCTCTATCCCTTCTCTCCTCCTTCGTTGGCATCCTTGCCGACACCGCCCTCCCTCCTCTTTCTTCGTCCTCTTCTCGCTTCTTTTCCACTTTCGGCTTTCCGTTTTCGGCAAACGACGATTTCGCCCCCTTTCGTCGCGAATCTCGAGGAGAAACGCGGATACTTTCTTTGAGATACCACTCTTTCGACGACGAATCGATTTTCCTACGTTCTTCGCGTTACCTTTCCCTGAGGATTTCCTTGGATCTTGATGAAATGTCAGTGAGAGGTGTCGCCCACAAATCATCCCCTTGCTCGTGAGCGAGGAGGTGGTTTCGAACGTTCGTGCGCACGAACGTTTTTCACGAGAACGTCTCTCTGGCGGCGTTCGAGCAATTTCGAGTTTCTCGCGGCAGCTGGCCGTAAATTTGGACCTGCGAGGCAAGGTCAGACGAGACGAAACGAAACGAGACGAGACGAGACGAGAAGAGAGGAGGTAGCCGCACACACGGTCGAAGCAGGACGCGAGGACGCGGCACACGGAACGGACGCACGTTTTTATAAATGGTTCTTAAATTTTCACAGTTACCCGTAATATCTTTATAAGAACGATTTCGGGGGCTTTTTTTGCCGACATGTATGCGAAACGCGGACACCGATGATGGTGGCGGCGGTGGTTGGCCGTGGTGAAAGAGGACCGAGGTCTCGGAGCCGGGGGAGCGAAGCGGGAAAGAGGAAGAACGAATTGGAAAAGGGAGAGGAGCGAGGGGTGAGAACGCGAGAGATAGAGACAGATAGACAGACAGACAGAGAGAGAGAGAGAGAGATGGTGAGAACGACGCACGGTCGAAGACGAGAGTACGGCGAGGACGAGGGTGAGGACGAAGGCCGAGGGTGCGAGAAGGAAAGAGGGGCGAAAGGGCCGAAGGGGCATCTATCTATCAGCGGCGGCGTGAAGTGGGCGGGAGCATGCGCCGTATTGCCCCGTACGGCCGCTCTCTCATTAACTCTGGATGCCGCCAGAGCCGCATCCGTGCAGCCGAACACGACTGCCGTAACCGCTGCTCCGCGTCGCGTCGAGCCGAACCGAGCCGAGTCGAGCATTCTCTTCCACCTTACGCACGCCCTCTCTTATCGCACCCGCGCGGAACAGAGATAATAGGATTTACGATTGTCAATGTTTCAAACTGTTTTGCGATTCCATCGAATCTTTCTTTGATTGACGACGATTCTTTTCTGTTAAACAGTGACACAAATTTCGGCATCCTCGGTGATTATGCTTTGCATCACCAGACGCGAGATAATTTAAAAACAGTAACGATTTCTGATTTTTCTGATTTTCTATTGCGATCGGAATAGTACAAATCAAAAATGATTTGATAAAATCATACAACTAAATACAATCGGGCTTACCAAATCATTTATCAATCTGTTTCAACTGAAGATTTAAATCTAAACTTGAGTCGAATTAAAGTTCAAGTCTAATTTAATGTTTGAATATTGTTCTTTGTACGAACCATGTTGTGGAATTTAAATCGTGATACAAATAAATTTGGTCCTCTTACATTTTTCCCAGGAACAGAAAACGTATACGTATTCATCTTATTCAGCGGACCTTTCTTTGGAGCAAGCGGATATTTTTCCAGAAAATCGCGAATTTCACTTTCTCAATCAAGTTCGAGAGGGCAGAGTGACGAGCCCCGTGAGATTGAATGACGAAGCAAGATTTTTCGTGATCTCGGTTAGGCAGGTGCTGATTTGAGGAGGGTCGCGTTAGACCGGACTGTGATTTTCAAACGATCGTTCTCACTAAACTGCCGTGTCATTAAACCGTGGTCGATCGACCAAGCATAACGCATCTCGTCCACTTCTCTCTCTCTCTCTCTCTCTCTCTCTCTTTTTCGGGAAGAATTCGATTCGTAAGATCGACGAAAAGTCGTCGGAGTTTCGAGAAACACACGACGGGACACGACAGATCGTCCGACAGATCCCTCTCCGATCTCGTCTCCCCGGTTTTGACGTTTAACGAAAAATTTCGAAACGCTCGGAACACGCCCTTCCATTCTCGGAAGCGCGTCGAAGATCGCGTCGAACGCATTAGCGGAGAGAAGGACTTTCCGGTTGAGCCTCGACACGCCTCCGATTTGCACGTGATTACCGCTGCGCCGCGCCCGACCGTACGTTCGTCCCGAGAGAACCAGGACCGCCTGACAGGCATAGAGCTCTCTCGTGACTCCGTGACTCCGAACCTCCGTGGCTTTGTTCCCGTTTTTCGATTCTCGTCTCTGGATCCCTCGGATCACCTTTTCAAGTTCGTGCCGTGTCGATCGCGCGCCTCTGTAACGCTGGCATTCCCTCTGAGCCGCGGATTTTCAATTGTTCCACTCGCGTCACGCAAAACACAGAGTGAAAGTATTGGCTTGTGTACTAAATTTACATAGAAATTTTATAGACTTGTAGTGGAAGATTTTTAGAAGTTCGACCATTTCTTCGACAAAAACCTGTATTTTTTTTCTTCCTCTTATTTCACGCAACTTAATTGCTTTCGATATAAGTTGCCTTTTATTGACACTTTAATCCCCCGTGTATTGTTAAATCTCCAGCGGCGAAAATACCGCTAACGACTATTTTAATTAGATCGCCGCAATTCCGCCAACCCTAAAATCTTTTAATTATTACTCCATTACGGGCGAACAAATTATTTAATCGCGTCGTTTGCACGAACCCCGGAGCAGGTGTTTCGCAGACGGCGGTAACGTTGGCCGATCCGATGCGATCCAATGCGATATCACGCGATGCGATGCGATGCGATCCGACACGATGCCAGCCAAGGCGAGGAAAAAATAAATATGCAAGTGCAGCTAAGTAAGTGCATTTCGCGAGACGAAAGCCACGAGCATTCGACGGAGGCAAGACGACTTTATTCAGTAGCCGGTGTTATACTGACGTGCGCCCGATTTACATTTACATTTATTAGATGTAAACTCGCGCACGCACACGCGAACACAGATCTCGAAAAATACAACTGAAATATACATGTAGGAATTAAGGATCCACTGTGTACATATGTTCACATACCATATGTCCACGATCTTAAATAGTTGAGACACTTGCTAGCCTTTCAACGTAAAGTATTAATAATTTGATCGTCCTTTTCAATATATCAATTTGAACAAACAAATAATAAGTAATATGTAGTGTGGGGGATCTTTGAATGTCACAGGTGGGTAATTTTTAGTGTGACTTTAATGATCTCGCTTCCCCGTTGCATGAGTAGGTACAATTACAATTAATTAATAATCTTCTCCTTTTATAAGTAAATGAAATTCTCGGTTAATTATAGCTATTTTACCGTAATTGAAAATCTGATAACTAATACCTAATTGTTATAAGTCATTTGATGTTTTTATAACGACGTAAGTACTTGATGAGGGGCAACATTATACATGAACATATATAATACATGAACATATATAATTTTCAAGTTGCACGACAGAGATTGGAATTCAGGCGTGTCATCTAATTCAGTGGATCTTCGAATGTCGGTGTATATATGTCTGAACAATTACCATCTCGATCGAAATTGAGATTTCTTCACGTTCGACAATTGTACACGACAATGCCGCTCAAAAGTCTTAGGAAACACTTACTTTCAATACCCAATATTTATTGTATTACAAATAATAAAACTTTTCATGTGTTTCAGTTTCTGATACATTCACAATACAAATAGTATTTGTTCCAAGACTTTCAAGCGAGATTTCTGATACATTCATATATTATTAAGTATTATTGTATCAAAAGTTACATTTGAAGTTTACTGTATATGGAATGGAGATCTCTCTCTCTCTCTCTCTCTCTCTCTCTCTCTCTCTCTCTGCAGTTCTGCGAGTCCGTTCCGGATATCGGCAGAATTCGAGTTTAATCGATTTAGTGGGCGTAGTTTCAGGCAAGTCGTTCGTACTCGTTAATCGAACGTAAACGAACCGAATAATCGTTTCGAGGAAAGTTTTCCGGTCCAGTGAGACACGTCGATTCCACCAAGTCGGAAAGTTCTCGCGGAACGAATCCTCGAATTTTGATCGCATGGGAGAGAGTACCGAGCGTATTGTAAAAGAAATAGAGGTAGAAAGACAGACAGGCAGGGAGAGAGGAGAGAACAGCGAGGAAATTGCAATTAATCGAGATCGTTTGTTTGCCAACGAACGTAATGTCTGATAACGAGGCAGCGTCCATCTGCCAAGATTAATGGCAACGCCCGGTTATTGGAACGTTACTTTGTCGCTGTTAACGATAATCCTTTGACGCGGCGCACGCTGTCGGTGAAAAAGTTCTTTTCTGTCACGCATGTATCCGCCCCGCACGTGAACGCGACGAGGGAGAGAGGAGGGGCGAGCGCGAGAGCAGGTGCATCGTCATTCATGTAGATAGATGATCGCGGATAACTCGGAATCGAGCGGCTCGTGTGCACGCTTATTCGGGATCAAACGTGCCTCTCCTTCGACATTTAGCGTTGTATAAATTTCCACTTTTAACGAGATCTAAAAGATCGCGCGATAATTCGGCCGGCACGATGATTAAGGTGCCGACGTTATAATGGCGCGTAATGATCGCTTCGCTTGCTTGCTCACTCGCTCGCTCGCTCGCTCGGCACGGCACAGCACAGCACGGCATATCGTACCGCATGGCCGCGGCTCGAGAAATATGCGCGAAACGAATCGATGCACCGTGCTTGCATTGCCGAACAAAAGTATGTAAGTAAGCACGACAGGTTTCAGAGTGTGTCGTGTGTTGCCACTTACCGATCGAAATCCGTCAGCCTCGACGAGTCTCGGAAACCTTTGGCGAACGGGTTGCTGTCGATTTTCAGCTTGGTTATCTGCAACATTATCGGCGCGCTGCCTAATTGCCGGCTCCCATTTGAAATCGCTCGCGATCGCAAGCGCGAAGAAACTGGACTAATTTCGCTGATAAGAAGAGGTTGGTCGCGTTCACTTGCGTTGGAGAAGCAGCCGCGCGTGTTGCGAAATTAGTCGAGTTTCGCGCGTACACGTATTATGTAAGTATACTGCCGCTCTTGAAAATGTGTAGACACATTTCTTATACCTATTTATCTGAAAAATGAAATCTTTGGTCTTTAATGAATTCTGTGTATTCTACCTTGTACCCCGTATTAGAGAACCTACTTTACTAATAATTCATTGTTTCATTAATGATAATTTCGTGTCTTCTTCCCATCTGCATATCCACCGTGCTTACAAATTGCTTCCTTAAATTCTATGAATTCTTTACATCATATAAATCTTCCTAAACTAGCCCCGTATCGTAATGGAAATATTTCCATGTTTAACATCATAAAACTGTGTCATTTAATTTTACGGTTGATTAGATACAGCATAAACATTTATTTATTTAAGAAATAATTTGTTCAATTTAATACGTTACTGTACACATGTACCTGTATATATGTTCCTAGAAATGTTTTTAAGAAACATCGTCTGACAATAACAGTGTTATACATCACAGATTCTATAAAAATGGTGTGTCCATATACTTCCGAGCGGCAGTGTACATCATATCACGCACAGTGCATACTCACCAATTGATTCTGGTAGGCAGTCACCGCGGTGAAGATCGCCTCGGGGAATACGAACGTTTTATGCTCCTCCTTCTGCAGATCGGTTATACGAAGATTGTTGTCGTCCGTTTGTCGACAGCGTACCAAATGTATCCTCGGCTGATATCTGTGCATCGAATTCAAAACGATCTGAAAATAGAAGAGAAAAAGAAAAAAACGCTGAGAGCGGCGGGTTGCGCGCGATGATTTATCAAGTCTTAATTAACGTCTCGGAAATAACTGGAAGCGTCGTATAAATCCTGTTCGCGTTTCGAACGGTTAATAGGCGACGACGGCCGACCAAGTTTTATGCGGCGATCACGCGCTGCACTCGCTCATCTTCCTCGCTCACTTATCACTACTTATCTAGTCGATAACGGGACGGGCATAATACCGCGACGATCGCGACCATCCCAGCAAACGGACTTTCATTTTCTAATCGATCTGTATCTGCTATCTATATCTGTCGCCTACAGGTACCTATTGGCCGAAAGTAATTCCGACGAATGAATAATCGAGGCTACAATTATATCATTTGGCTACTGCCAAATTTTCTCTCATACGTTGTGATGATGCCTGCAGTGTATGATTACGAATCCGAGACAAGATGGATAAATTTGGAAATCCATTTGCTGTTCGAAAATACGAATGTTTTGACGAATATACTTGCAATGTATTCATTTTGTACTAGAGTTTCACGCGTGTAAATCAATATACACGAATAGTAAACTAATCCAGAATAATATTCAAACCGAATAATAATTTGTAATTTCCGATACATGGTTGCCTGTGTATTTTTACTACACGTGTTCACATATATTTAAATATGCATATCTACCTGTAACTTTCTGAACTGATGATGTGTTATCAATTACTTCAGTATTGTCTTCTTTGTCAATTAAGTTGTAATGCATTTTTTAATTTAATTTAATAGTAAATAGAGGTTCAAAACAAAAGCATCACTGTCCATTATACATCGGTAGAATTCTTGGAGGTGTCTAATGCGCATGCGCGTCAGACCTATGCGCATTAGACGTACGCGCATCAAACGCATGCGCATTTGTACCAACACAATGGGCCCGCCTAATGCGAACGAAGATCGCGTATAGAAAAACAGAAACATGTTCGTTGAGTGTTCTACTTGTGAGATATTCGATGTCATCTCTATCCACCAGTATTCGAATCTACTCGAAACTATCTTGCTTAGATTCGAGTACTTATAGTTGAAAACACACTACTTACAAAGTGAATCTAGTGGCTGGAAGTTCGGCTCTACTTGTGAGGTACTCGATCCCATCTCTAGCGTTAACATTAACCGTAGATACACCACTCGATGATACCGCACTCTTTGTCTACCAGTGTACACCTTGTAATTTCAATTTTTCCGAGCGACGCTAAATCGCCTATTATTTCCGTGCGGCGAGCTTTAACGTCAGCCCGGGGAACACCGTGAGTTTATAACCGATAGAACCGGAGAAGTTGCGCATCGATTTCCTGTCTGAAACAATGTGCCACGACGAAACAAGTTTCTCGCGTAGATATCGCGCAACGCGCGGCTGCGAAATGCTCTAGATACATCAAACGTTACTCGAACTTGCTGCTGCCATTTTCTCGGCACAATTGCTACTTTCATGCAAGCCAGTTCGTCCGAATTTTCCATATACGACGTCTGCATGACTGTTTCCATGAGCGTTGTCTACTTCTTCCATCGTGGACTTACGTGGACGTTTACGCGTGTCCGCTTTCCCTCCATCTCGTTTAATCGATAGTTCCATGGTCGCTGCAAGGCTCAAATCGCAAAGCTCTCTATCTTCTTGCTTTCCTTCCTATGTCCTTCTTTCTTCTCTCTCAAAACTGCTCCGACGAAAGGTACGCGCTTAATCTTCTTCCTTGTCTCCTTGTGTTTTTTTTTTATAGAATATTATTTTGTAGCACGGAGGTACAAGTACAAAGGGTGAAAGTCTCTGACATCTATTTTCCTATTTTAGAATACTTTTTTTGTTAACAAGATACGTCGTCAGAGTATCGTAAGTAATATGTTCTTTTAGAGTAATATCCTGCATGCATTCACCATCTTTTCAAAGATACATGCAGAGATCCATAATTTTGAATAGAAAGCAAATAAAAACTCAATAGAAACGATCGTAACGTTAGACGGACCTAAATGAAAATAAATGGAACACTAATACGTAAAAGCAAGATTTTACGCGATTGAATTTTATACGCGCAATTGAATTCTTAACGATAGAATCTGTCTCAGAATTTATCTATTAATCTTTCCATCGTAGATATGAATTTTTACCAAATCGATTGCAGTCGATTGACAGCAAGAGACGAATTAAGTTGATAACATTTAGGGACGTTAAATCGCATCGCTCCACTGTGGTTTTATTAATAATAAGAGCGAGAAACGTTGCGTTACCGTATCGTGTACTGCACGAGAATTCGTTATTAAACGGGATTTTTATTAGCGGCGAGATTATCGGCGAAAATATATTTGCGATATCTGCGACTGGCATCGCGCGTTGACGCGCCATCCGAGACATTCTCTGACTCGACGCGTCGCGAAGCCAAGCGACTACACCAGCAGCACGAATAAGAAAACCATTTAGAGGACGAGCTATCTCCGAAACGCGTTACCACGTCGTTCGATAATTAAGTAAACATCTTAATTTTCGGTATAACCGATGCTGCGCATCGTACGTCACTCGATCGCTTCGAACTTAATCCTTTATAACGCGGCGTAACTTGAACTTTAAAGTTACGTATCCATTATCCACATTTTGATTATTTCATTAGTATATATTTTATATCGTAGAAAAACACCGAACGATGTTATATTTTTAATTAATCAATTCCCGGATCTCGAGTTATTAAGTAAAGTGTTACATAATTAAGTAATTAAATTCAATATACAGTCGGTTAATTTTTCTCAGTTCAACTATATACAAAAAAAAAAAAAAAAAAATTAAGAGAGAAGAAGCACTAAATATGATCATCATCCTGAGGATCACGTGATCACAATAACATTACCAGTATTGAAAGTTACACGACCATAGTGGCATCACCGATACTTACAATGTAGTTAAGCTAACGCGTCTGCCACGGATGAAAATACTTGTTACTCCGCCGCAATATGTTAATGCGACGTTAACGTTATCGCATCGCGTTATATACGCCTGCATGTATACGTGTATGTATCCTCTCTTGCGGAAAAGCAATTTCTATCGCATGATATCGTTGTTACCGTTATCGTAACCGGTGGAACGTTTTTCCTACGTACGCAGCCAGGTATTTCTAGGGATGCGCTCTTACATTTACGTCGCTCCGACAAATCGAAATTGTCGCGGTGAATAGCAGTCGCGGTGCACGCCGATTATACCACTAATCGCGCGCGAGTACAGCCGAGGAACCGAATCCAATCCACTCACTCCTCGTCGGACTTCCCTCGTAATTTGCATCTAGCGATTTATCAAACAACGCGGCATCCATGTAATGTACGTTGATAGCGGTATTACATGTGCGATTTATAGTCGTTTTTCTCCTTGCGCTGGCTCGTTCGCCCGAGCACGATATAACCTGGTCGTCGACGACCGATAGCTGTCGGTCGGGAAACGAACGGTTGGACGAGCACCACGGCAGATGGAAATGTCGTTTCGTTACTTAATCCACGGCAGCTCGCGTTCTCTCGCTCGCGTAATTTATTTTTATAACGCAATAACGTATATCATGAAATTAATACTCGCCGAGTTGTCGGCCACCAACTATTTCCTTCACTTTCGCAACGTGCTGCTTTACGTGACTCGCTTGTCCCTGTCTATTTTTATCGCGCGCGGATACGCGGACACCTTTCCGCGTCGAATTATCGTCGCCCGTGTTTGTCAAATTGTTGAACGCGTTTGCAAACATTTTGTCCAAACAGAGCGCCAAGGAAACGAATGTCTTGCTCGAATCCGACGTGCGTTGCAACATTGAGGAAGGAAAACGAACCCGATTCTTATACCTCGAGTATATCATGTACAAATGTACGTAACACCGTTCGTAATTCACACAATAACGTATACGATAATTATTGCAGATGCAATAATTGTTTTATGCCGTGTCAATGTTGTAACAATCATTTCGTTCAAAACATTTCGTTCGGATTTTTATTATTATCACCACATTAATATTTAGAACATATTGCAATAATATGTAATAACCTGTTTATAATAATTATAATAATTACAACAATTAAACGCATAAAAATTGTATACAGTAATGGTGACCATCGTCGTAACGAATCAAACGGGCAAATGCTCGGTGACTTACGGACGGAAGTGTACGTTGATTGGTATACGTATTTGCAAAAGCGAAGTGGTTGTTGTTAATATCCACGAGGCGTTGTGATTTACGGTTATGCAATAGCTTGTAAATTTTTCATTCGTCGCGCGATGCTGCAAGGACGAACGTTCAAACGAGCAACGTTACACGCATCCTGGCGCACGATGTCCCCTACCGTCCTTCCTTCAAGTGCACGAGATTCTGCTCTCTCCCGATGAACAATAGGAATAAAAAAAAAAAAA